AGGATCATCATTAAGACTTAAGAAGTCATCTATTTGTCTATATAGCATCACTACAAAACAGTACATCTTCATGGATCTGCAGAGATCTGATCCAAAGGGGTGTGCTATTGTTTAGTGACTGTTACATATGCTAAATAATAATAATAGGAACAGCATATTAATAGCAGAAATCTTTCCTAAAATAAGTCCCTCACAGTCTTGCTGGATGAGGACTCACTTTGTTGCAGATTATATAATAATCCAAGGCAAGCATTTCAGGATGAACACCTGCTGATTATTAGCTTGTCCCATTATAGCTCCTTACAATATGCAGGCACTCTGGGATGCATTGTAGGATAGAAAATGAGAATTCCCAGGTCAATAGCATAGACAAATCTTCAAGAAGATCATAAAAGAAAATATCTCCAAAGTAAGAAAAAGCATGCCCATAGAGATACAACAAACACAGAACAACAAATACACAGGACAAGAAAATACTGTCTAAGGCCTACTGTACTGGCTAATTTTGTGTGTCAATATGACACAAGCTACAGATATCACAGAGAAAGGAACCTCACTTGAGGAAATGCCTCCATGAGATCCAGCTGTAAGGCATTTTCTCAATTAGTGATCAAGGAGGCAGGGCCCGGTCCATTGTGGGTGGTGCTATCCCTGGACTGGTAGTCCTGGGTTTTATAAGAAGGCAAGCTGAGCAAGCCAGGGGAAGCAAGCCAGTAAGCAGCACCACTCCATGGCCTCTGCATCAGCTCCTGCCTCCAGGTTCCTGACCTGGGTGAGCTCCAGTCCTGACTTCCTTTGGTGATGAACAGTAATATGAAAGTGTAGGCTAAATAAACCCTTTTACCCTCAACTTATTTCTTGGTCATGATGTTTGTGCAGGAATAGAAACCCTGACTAAGACACCTATTGCAGTTAAAATACTAAACACAAATAACAAAGGGCAACAAAATCTTCAAAAGGCCACAAGTCATACATAAAAGAAAACATATCAGAATACCAATGGACTGTTGGGCTGTAGCGTACATGTGGGCATGGGTCCTGTGGGTTGAGTTGTGGGTCCCAAGACTGCTACCTCCAAGGGGCTAGGGCTGTGGGTCAGAGAGGCAAAAAAAAAAATCAGTAGCCTTCCTCTACTCAAAAGATAAACAGGCTGAGATAGAAATTAAGGAAATGACACCCTTCACAATAGTCACAAATAATATAAAATACCTTGGTGTGAATCTAACCAAGGAAGTGAAAGATCTCTATGACAAGAACTTCAAGTCTCTGAAGAAAGAAATCGAAGAAGATCTCAGAAAATAGAAAGATCTTCCATCCTCCTGGATTGGCAGGATTCATATGGTAAAAATGGCCATCTTGCCAAAAGCAATCTACAGAGTCAATGCAATACCCATTAAAATCCCAACTCAATTCTTCACAGACTTAGAAAGAGAAATTCTCAAATTCATTTGGAATAACAAAAAACCCAGGATAGCGAAAACTATTCTCAACAATAAAAGAACTTCTGGAGGAATTACCATCCCTGACCTCAAGCTGTACTACAGAGCAATAGTGATAAAAACTGCATTTTATTTGTACAGAGACAGGCAGGAAGATCAGTGGAATAGAATTGAAGATCCAGAAATGAACCCACACACCTATGGTCATTTGATCTTTGACAAAGGAGCTAAAACCATCCAGTGGAAAAAGGACAGCATTTTCAACAAATGGTGCTGGTTAAATTGGAGGACAACATGTAGAAGAATGCAAATAGATCCATTCTTATCTCCTTGTACAAAGCTCAAGTCTAAGTGGATAAAGGACCTCCACATAAAACCAGATACACTGAAACTAATAGAAGACAAGGTGGGGAAGACCCTCGAATACCTAGGCATAGGGAAAAAGTTCCTGAACAGAACATCAATGGCTTACGCTCTAAGATCAAGAATTGACAAATGGGACTTCATAAAATTGCAAAGTTTCTGAAAGGCAAAGGACACTCTCAATAGGACAAAACAGCAACCAACAGATTGGGAAAAGATCTTTACCAATCCCACATCCAATAGAGGACTAATATCCAATATATACAAAGAACTCAAGAAATTAGACTCTAGACAACCAAATAACCCTTTTTAAAAATGGGATATAGAGCTAAACAATTTTCAACTGAGGAAACTCGAATGGCCAAGAAGCACCTAAAGAAATGTTCAGCATCCTTAGTCATCAAGGAAACGCAAATCAAAACAACCCTGAGACTCTACCTCACACCAGTCAGAATGGCAAAGATCAATAACTCAGGTGATAGTAGATGCTGGCAAGGATGTGGAGAAAGAGGAACACTCCTCCATTGTTGGTGGGACTGTAAGATGGTGCAACCACTTTGGAAATCAGTGTGGCGGTTCCTCAGAAAATTGGACATAGCATTACCTGAGGATCCAGCTATACCACTCCTAGGCATATACCCAGAAGATGCTCGAACATGTAACAAGGACATATGCTCAACTATGTTCATAGCAGCCTTATTTATAATAGCCAGGAGCTGGAAAGAACCCAGATGTCCTTCAACTGAGGAATGGATTAAAAAATGTGGTATATTTACACAATGGAGTATTACTCAGCTATCAAAAACAATGAATTTGAGAGGTTCCTAGGTAAATGGTTGGAACTAGAAATTATCATCCTGAGTGAGGTAAGCCAATCACAAAAGAACAAACATGATATTCACTCACTGATTATTGGATATTAGCCCAGAACCTTGAAATGCCCAAGATTCAACTCGCAAGCCAAATGAAGCTCATGAAGAAGGAAGACTAAGTGGGGGTGATTCGGTCCTTCTTAAAAGGAACAACAAAATACTCAAGGGAGCAAATATGGAGACAAACTGAGGGACAGTCTGGAAGACCATTCCACCTGAGTATCCATCCCATGTGCAGTCACCAAAGGTAGATGCTAATGTGGAAGTCAGGAAGTGCATGCTGATAAGAGCCTGATATATATAGATGCCTCCTCAGAGGTCTGCAAGAGTCTGACATATTCAGAGGCTGATGCTCACAACTAGCCATTGAAGTGATCATGAGGTTCCCAATGGAGGAGTTAAGAGTGAAGACCATTGGAGCTGAAAGGGTTTGTGGCCCCATGAGGAGAGCAACAATACCAACCAACCATAGCTCCCAGGGTCTAAACCACCAGCCTGGGAGCACTTAGGGAGGGATCCATGGCTTCAGCTGTATATGTAAGAGTGGAGGGCCCTGCTGGGCATAGATGGAAGAAGAGATCCTTGACCTCATGAAGGCTGGACACCCCAGGGAGTGGGAATTTTGAGGGTGGGGAGGTGGGAGTGGGGGGTGGGTAGGGGTTACATCCACAGAGAAGGAGGAGGAGGGGTGAGGGGATAGGGAGTTCCTGGGTGGGTGGGGGATGGGGTAAGGGGACAACATATGAAATGTAAATAAAACATCCAATTAAAAAAATATAAAAATAAAAATGGGATATAGAGCTAAATAAAGAATTCTCAACTGAGGAAAGGCAAATGGCCAAGAAGCACCTAAAGAAATGTTCAGCATCCTTAGTCATCAGGGAAACGCAAATCAAAACAACCCTGAGAATCTACCTCACATCACTCAGAATGGCTAAGATCAATAACTCAGGTGATAGTAGATGCTGTCAAGGATGTGGAGAAAGAGGAACACTCCTCCGTTGTTGGTGGAATTGCAAGATAGTACAACCACTCTGGAAATCAGTCTGGCGGTTCCTCAGAAAATTGGACATAGTATTACCCAGCTATACCACTCCTGGGCATATAACCAGAAGATGTTCTAACATATAACAAGGAAATATGCTCCACTATATTCATAGCAGCTTTATTTATAATAGCCAGAAGCTGGAAAGAACCCAGATGTCCTTCAACAGAAGAACGGATACAAATACTGTGGTACATTTACACAATGGAATATTACTCAGCTAATAAAAACGATGAATTTGAGAAATTCTTAGGTAATTGGATAGAACTAGAAAATATCATTCTGAGTGAGGTATCCCAATCACAAAAGAACACACATGGTATTCACTCACCGATTTTTGGATTTTAGCCCAGAAGCTTGAAATACCCAAGATTCAACTCACAGACCATATATAACTTATGAAGAATGAAGACCAAGTGGGAGTGCTTTGGTCCTTCTTAGAAGCAGTAACAAAATACTTAAGGGAGCAAATATGGAGACAAAGTGTAGGACAGAAATTGAAGGAGGGGCCGTCTGCAGACCATTCCACCTGGGTATCCATTCAATGTGCAGTCACGAAAGGTAGACGCTGATGTGGATGCCAGGAAGTGTATGCAGACAGGAGTCTGATATAGCTGTCTCCTTAGAGATCTGCCAGAGTCTGACATATTCAGAGGCAGATGCTCACAGCTAACCATTGAACATGGGGTTCCCAATGGAGGAGTTAGAGTGCAGACTCAAGGAGCTGAAAGGGTTTGCGACCCCATGAGGAGAGCAACAATACCAACCAACCAGAGCCCCCAGGGTCTAAACCACCAGCCTGGGAGCACTTAGGGAGGCACCCATGGCTCCTGCTATATATGCAAGGGAGGATGGTTCTGTCAGATATAGGTGGGAGAGGAGATCCTTGGTCCCATGAAGGCTGGACAACATGTGAGGGGGAATTAGAGGGTGGGGAGATGGAGTGGTGGGTTAGATGGGGGCACATCTTCATAGAAGTAGGAGGAGGGGGAATGGGATAGGGGGTTCCTGTGCAGGAAAGGGGGAAGTGGGGTAAGGGAAGAATATCTGAAATGTAAATAAAATATCCAATAAAAATACCAAAATGACAGCAATCAACATTTATCTTTCAATATTAAATTTAAATATTAATGGCATTACATCCACAGTCAAAATAAATAAGTTAGTTGAATTGATTAAAGTAAAACAAAGAAAAATGAGGGAAACCATGGGGAAACTAAAGAAAATGGGACAGAAAAAAAGGAAGACAATGATATCCTAATATTTGAAAAAATAGAATTCATGCTCGCTTCTCTAACACATATACTACAATTGGAATGATACAGAGAAGATTAGCATGGCCCCTGCACAAGGGTGACACACAAATTCATCAAGCGTTCCATATTTTTCTTTTAATTGTAAAGTTAAAATTACTTTTGTTTCTTCTACAGTATTTAATATAAGTCGCATTGATTGTGCACTTTCTAATTGTGTTAGTATTTTGAAATCCAGCATGTCAGTTATGGAAGTCTATCAACCAGCTTTTATTTTATTGCCCTGAGTATCACAGAACCTTGGTATTCTGAAAAAAAGCTTTCAAGTACTGGAAGAAATGAGTCAGGCTTTAAACAGAAGCAAGAGTGTAGTGGGCTTGATTATTGCTGGTATAACAGATTTACATTAATTGCTAGCACCACTGCTTCTGCAATTGCTTTGACACAAGAAGTTAAGACAGCTACTTTTGCTAATCATTTAGAAAAAATGTTACTAATGTGTTGAATATACAAGAGGATTTAGATAGGCATTTGGAAGAAAGGATTGATGCTCTTTATCCTATTCAAATTATTGGAAGGAGGTTCAGAGTTTAAGAGTAAGGAGCCATCTCAAGTGTCATGCCAAATACCATTAGATTCATGTTAGTTCTAAAATTTACCTTGGTAGTCATTATAATTAGGAAAAAGTTTAAAGACACTCACAGTGTATTCAGCATAATTCTAACACCTCTCAGGCTGTTTTAACAATACATAGTGAGCTTATGAATTTCAAGAATGCTGCTCTGCTGAATGTTGACGTTGCAGATACTGCAGATAAAATTATCCATGGCCTGAGGCCAATATTTCTATTTTGGTCAAGCTTCAAGAATGGCATATATAGCTTGATCATGCTAGCCCTTTTTGTCCTGCGAATACTTTTATTCCTGCCCATCCTGTTAAAGCTTGTCTTTAACAACATCAACATGTTCGCAGCCAAAGTACATGGCTTGAACCTGAAAATGGACCCCCAGACAGAGTTATTAAATTAACAGGCTGGCAGGCCAAGAACAGGTAAGATTCTGCACAGAGTCTCACCAACATAAGACAAAAGTACATTGCTTTTGATAATGCATATTCCACGAAGGGTAAGGAAGGCATTCTTGGCAGAATGAAGTAAGACAGGCTCAGTATTGTTTATGAAATAAAAAAGGGGGAGAAGCGGAGTGCCTTTGGGGCTGCTTGGCAAGAATCTGACATGGTCCAAAGACAAAGAAATGGTCTGCTTGGCAGGAATATGACATTGGCCAAGGACAAGGAACAGGGCTTCAGGCAGGAATCTGACATTAGGCTAGAACAAAGAAGTAACTTCAGTCAGGAATCTAAATTTTAGGCTAGAACATGGAAGTAGGCTTCAGACATGAAAATGAATTTGGGCTAGGACAGGGAAGTTGGTTCAGATACTTTGGTCATTGTGATAAACTCTTAGAAACAGTGATCACTGCAATGTTCATGGAATTTTGTTTATTGCCTCGCTTGTTCTTTGACTATTTGTGTTTATTGTCTTGCTTGTTCCTTGACTATTTGCATCTATTGTATTGCTAGTCACACAACCTAGAAATGACCTTAATTACTTGCATGTAATTAAAATGGTATAAAAGCAAAAAGGATCGGGGGGATGGGATAGGGGGTTACTAGGGAGGGGAAATGGGGAAAAGGGATGACATCTGAAACATAAATAAATAAAATATCCAATAAAAATGAAAAAATAGAATTCAAGGTAAAACTTATGAGATGAGGAAAGACATTTCATTCTGATCAAGAAAACAATTAACAAAGAAGACATTATAGCCCTAAACATATACTCACCAAATCCAACAGTTCATTTTTAAAATGCAACTGCTGGAGATCAAGACACAGATTAACCCCCAGCTCAATAATAATAGTTTATTTCAATATCACTTTCTTCAATAGACAGGTCATCTAGACAAAAATAATGCTGGAATTAAATGATATCATATATCAAATGGCCCTAACAGAAACCTGCAGAACATTCTGTCCAAACACCAAAAATATACAGCAGCCCAAGGAAGTTTCTCTAAAATGCACCACATACTGGGACATAAAATGAATCTTAACAAACAAAGAAAAATTTAAGATAACTTTATGTAGCGTACCTTACCATGATGTTATAAAGCTCAAAATCAACAGCAAAAGATTTTGCTGGATGGAGATTTTATAAATATACTACTGCTTTTCAATGTAGTGCTTGAAGTACTAACTGGAACAAAAAGACAAGAGATAAATGTCATTAAATGAATCCAAATAGAAATCAAACCATCCCTGTCTGCAGATGATATATTATGCATAAGAAACCTAAATTGGGCATTGGTGTAGTACACCTTTAATCCCCCTGTTCAGGAGGCAGAAACAGGCAGATCTCCGAGTTCCTGATCAACAGCATGAGTTCCAGGACAGCCAAGGCTACACAAAGAAACCCTGTCACAAAACAAAACAAAACAAAACAAAACAAAACAAACAAAGAAAACCAACAACCTTGAGAGCTAAAACATCTAGAAATTATCAACACTTTCAGAAAAGTAGCAGGATACAAAATCAACTTAAAAAATCAGCAGCCTTTGTACTACAACTAATAAACATGCTGATAAAGTGATCATGGAAATATTCACAATAGCCTAAATAAATAAATAATAAATAAACATAATAAAGTATATAGGACGGAACCTAACTAAGGAAATGAGAGACTTTTCTACCATAAAGATTTTACATCTCTGAAAGAGATTGAAGAATAATTCTACAAAATTAAAAGACCTCCCATGCACATAAATTGGCAGAATTAATACTGCGAAATTAATATCATGTATAAGTACTGTGCACTAAATATCACTGGGAGGCCTGCTCCTTTCTAAACAGAAATGTAAGAAGAGTAGATCTGGGGGAGAGGTGAGGTGGCAAGGGAACTGGGGGGATGAGAGGGAAGGAAGGCTGCACTCAGAATGTATTGTATGAAAGAAGCATGAAATTTTAAAATAAAATCAAATGACAGTTCTAACAAAAGATTCAAAGCCATCACAATCAAAATCCCTATGGCATTGGTAATACAAATGGGAAAAACTTTTACAATTTATGGAAGCACAAATACCCTGGATAGCCAAGGCAATCCTGAGCATAATGAACCATGATGTCTTATTTTAACTTATATGACTGAGCCATAGTTATAAAACCAGAATGACATTGATATAAAAGCTGGCATGTAGATCAATGGCACAAAACAGAAGAACCAAATATTAACCACATTTTATTTTAGCCATCTCATATTTGATGAAGATACCAAAAGTATACATCAGAGGATGGCATAATAAATGCTGTTGGGAAACAGGATCTCCACCTGTAAAAGAATATTAGACCCCTCATTATTACCCTGTAGAATATCAACGACAAATGGATCAAAGACTTCAATGTGAAACAACACTGAAATTTCCTGAAGAGTACAGGCAATACCCTATAAGAGATAGGTACAGGAAATGACTTTCTAAATAGGACTCCATTTACTCAGTAATTAAGTACAATTGACAAATAGAACCTCATAAAACTAACAGGCTTCTGTAGAGAAATGTAGAGAAATCAACTGAGTAAAGAAGAAGCACACAGAGTTTTAAAGAATCTGACAGTCATTCACCTGATAGAAGAGTAATATCAATAATAATAATAATAATAATGATAATGATAATGATAAACTTAACAGAAAAGAACCAAGAAAACAAATGAACAAAAATGAACCACAGTTCTGAACAGAGATTTCTTAAAAGAATAAATAAGAAATGTCTTTAGAAGTGTTTAACATGCTTAGCAGTCAGAAAATTGCAGATTAAACTTTTTAACATTTCATGTTTATCCAATTCAGAATGGCTAAGATCAAGAAAATATCTGACAATAGATATTAGAAGGATGTGGGGAGAGGGGATCCCCATTTACTATTGGTGGGATTGAAAATTGTTGTAGCCACTATGGATATCTCCATGGAAAATAGTCAAAAAAGCCAAATGTTAGATCTATCATTTATCCCAGATATAGTATAGTATATATACTCCTTGAAATATACCCAAAGGACTCAATATCCTATGACAGAGGTATTTACCAGGCCATATTTATTGCTGCTATAGTCACAATCACAGGGAAATGGAAATAACCTGTAGGTCCTTCAACTGATAAATGGACAATTAAGTTATATTCAGCTGTAAAAAAAATAAAATAAGGAAATTTTTTGGTTAATTATTGAACTGGAAAATATACCAAGTGAGATGACCCACATGGACAAAGACAATTTGTACATGTTGTCTTTTTATTTTATTTTTATTTTATTTTATTTTATTTTATTTTATTTTGTTTTCTTTTAGAGATCCTAGCTCTGAATCATTATATTTGATTGTATAACCTGAAGTAGCTACAGCATCCAGGAAAGTAACAAGGAACCAGGAGAATAGAGACATAGCAGGAGCTCTAGAGAAGCCAGGGGGTGGGGGGGAGTAGGTAGGTTCTCTAGAAGTGTAAAGAATCAAAGCAGGTTGGAACCTTTAACTGGGGAAGGTAATACAGTGGGGAAAGAGGAGAAAGGACAAATAAATAACTATAAGGATATTTGGAAAAACCACAAGGAAATATATTATTTCAAATATTTCAAAATAGACACACACATTATATATATAAATGGAGTTGTGACATATTGGGTGATAGCACTCTACTGAAAAGCCATGTACCATCTGTGGTAATTTGAATAAGAATGATCCCCATAAGCTCACATATTAGAGTGCTTAGTCATCAGAAAGTGGCACTATTTGACAAGGATTAGGAAGTGTGGCCTTGGAGCAGGTACAGCTTTACTGGAGTAAGTGTGTCACTGGGTTTGGTCTTTGAGGTTTCAGAAGCCCATGCCTGTCCCATTCTCCCCATCTCTCCGTGCCATGGATCAGTATGACTAAGGCTTATAAAACCCATCTTATATAAAACCCTAGTATAACAATCAAGGTGTTGGTCATATAGGTTTAAGAAACTCATAAAACAATATAGACTATAATCATTGCCATTTTTGCCTCCCAGAACTTGAAGGTAAAGACCTTGTTGCTGAAGACACTACATAC